CCGCCACTGTATATATATATATATATATATATATATATATATATGTGTGTGTGTGTGTGTGTGTGTGTCCAAAATTAAATATTGATATATTGTAATGTAAATCAGTGAGATTTTATAATGTGATGTGTCATATTCAATACTCACGTTTTAACATGATATTTGTAATAAACCTAAGTTGCTTTAGTCCTGTATGTGTTAATCTTGAAATTATAACAGAAAAGTTATTCTTACATTACAAGTTATTCTTACATTTAAAAAGGCAGGTTTTTTCGTTAAAGTTTTGACCATGTTTATAATTTACAGACTTTAAAATGTGCATTTCCAATATGATACAGCAGGCTTTACAGGGTAAAGAGGTCCTCAGCAAGCCCTTTATTTTAGCATATTGACATAGAGGAATCACTGTTTGCGGTCCAATGAAGACAAAGGCCATGATTTGAAGTGTATAAACCACAAGAGGACCCGTGTCTCTGTTTGTCTGTTTAACTGCTCAGAGGATCTTATACTTCCCTGAGTCTGCTGGTTATGCTTATTTGATGGTGAGAAAAGTATTAATGCCTCGGTGTGATTGATAATCTGGGAAAGGTTACTGGGCAAAATAAAACCCATTAAAGGATCTTTTCAGTATTTTCTAGTGTTTCTGTAACACTCATCAACTGGCATGTCACTTCCTTTGTGATTTAGGAGGTCAATATAAGATATTATAGACACTTTATATTTGCTCTGGCCATCCAAGATGGCTTCACACACTACCAGGGACTCAACATCAGGATCCTCAAAAACATATTGGTACTTGGGTCCATCCTCCAGCTGTTTTCCAGCCTTTGACTAGCAGAACCACATCTTTCAGTTCCTTCAGACACACGTTGGAGAGCCCTTTATGTTGGAGCTTTTTCCTCGATTTAGACAGACAATGGTGCACATTCATACAGACGACACAAAGGTCAGCTGTTACATTCAGCTGAGGCACACAGCATTAAATAGAGCTCCATCTATATGCGATTGTTACAGTACTCTCGCTATGAAGCTGGATGTGGATAGCTGCCTCTTGGACTTGAGCGTCATTCATGGTCAAAGCGTGTCCTGGATGTTGTGGTGCAGATTTTGGACAGATGTATTCTGCATAAGTGATTCTCAATTAGAAGCGCTTTTGAAATTGTGAAAAATTTAATTTCAAGCTATGTTTCACCAAAGTTAAAACATTTATGTCGTACTGGAGAAGGATCTGATCATGGGTTTTTGATAATGTGTGAGATGCTTAAAAATAATTTGTTTCTAAATGACATTTTTTAAATATATATTTTTATATTGAATATTACTGTTTGGGGTCAGTGAGATTAAAATTTTTATTTTTATTTTTTTTTTTTAGAAAGAAAGAAATGAATTTTATTCAGCTACAGTGCATTAAAAGTGATTATATAATGTTACGCAAGTAAACATTAAATAAGTACTGTTCTTTTGAACTTGAATGGTTTCTGAAGGATAATGTGAAACTGAAGACTGGAGTAATGACTGTTGAAAATTCAGCTTTGCAATCACAGGAATGAATTACATTTGAAAATATATTTAAATGGAAATCGGTTATTTAAAAAAATACTGCATTAAAAATTTATTTAAAATCCAAATTTTTGATAGGTAGCATATATTCATGTATTTATTGTAAAAATAATCCCTCTCTAAAAATGCTTTCTCTGATGCTAATGGCAGCAGAATTGGGGACGATAATTTTTGCCATTTAAAAAAAAATACAAATTATACACGCACTGTAAATAGTAAATAACTTTAAAACATTGTATAAGTTCTAAAAATTCTGAGTATTTTAACACACATTAAAGAGGGAAAGAGAGGACCACCATGTAGAAATTCTGGTAAATTAAACCTCTCAGTAAATAAAGAGAAACAAAACCTACAAAGTTATATTTTAAAACTTGTGTTCTTTATATATATAACCCAGCGCTGGGTTAAAAAGGGACAAACCCAGCTATTGGGTTGTTTTGACCCAGCGGTTGAGTTGTTTTGAACCCAACCGCTGGGTCAAAACAACCCAATAGCTGGGTTTGTCCCTTTTTAACCCAGCGCTGGGTTATATATA